GCAGCTTGTTCCTAAGAACGTTGTCTCATTTCTATGCTTCCTGGAAATTAGACCCACTTGATAGTCTGCTTCATAAATGTCCAACAATTTGTCAGCATTCGCCATCTCATAATACTTGAATACAAGTATTCATGAGAAAGCACTGTCAGATGCAAGTTATCCCACCAGTTTGTTCTTAAAAATGTCTCACTGATGCAAAATGAAATCCATGTGAGATGTTTTTTCCCCCCCAAGCCAGGCACATAAGCTATTAATATAGCTTTGTACCTCATAATAAAATTACAACGATAAAGAATCTTGAGAATACATGTGGAAAAAGCTAGACTAAACTGTGTGAAGGAAGGAGAAGAGGGAGTTAAGCAAAGAGATTTTTTTCCAAATTTAACATAACTCCGAAGAAAACATCACAATTCTTGACAAAAAGTTATTATACAAGCTCAGTTGACCGGTCATTAGAAATGCACCCCACAAGAATTTATGTGGCAAGTTACTTCTGAGGAAGGTCCTTTTATTTTCAGTATTTGTTGCTTAGAGACACCTTGGCATTTTCTGAACTCAAAGAGTGTGGAGTATGCTGTACTCTCCAGTTGTGAACAGTAAACTCTGAAAAACTGCAATGTCTCTTTAAGGGAAACGTTATGTTTTGTTTATTAAGAAAACAAAACCAAGAAATCAGTCTTGTGAAGAGGAGAGGAGAGAGCTGGAACAATTACCATACTGAACTGGTCTCAAGACTTCATGAAATTTCCACAACAACAGTGTTCTCCAGGCCTGAGGCTGCTGCATGCCTACTGCTCTGCACTGCATCTCCTTTCCATTTTCTTAAATTTTTATTTTATTTTTAATTTCATTGGGTTTTGCGTGTCAGCTCACCTTTCTGCAAGGGGTGGTAGAACTATTCATACCTACTTTTATAGTTCTCCTGACTGGTGCACCAGATTAAAGGCTGTCATGATGCCCTTGGAGATATCTGCCTGCTTGTGCTACCCCGAGAGCTGCATTTGTCAGTATGATGGAGAGAAAGGGAAATGATACTTTCCACAGGCAAATGGAAGCATAAACCACCTAAAGTAGAATTCCCATGAAGAATGAAGCAATGAAGTCACTTTTTTTTTTGTACCAAAATACAGCTTTTGATGAAAACCTCTCCAGTTTTCAGGCAATTCATTTCCAATAATTTATTTACATTTTTAATGAAAAGCAGAGCCCTTTTTGCAAGCAACAAAATCAAGACACAAAATAAATGTTCTGTCAAAAAAAAAGTGTCCACGTGGAAAAATTTTATCCAGTTCTATTTATGTGGCCACAGATATATAATATCTGTATAAATAGAACTGTTCAAATGTGAGCAACTGCATACTCCCACCCTCTCTTTTTCTTGCCTCATATTATCTGTTAACTCCATTTAGGAAAAGAAAAATACGAAAGTTCAAGACCAAATGTAACTTCCTTGCAACAATTTCTTAGAGCACTGACAATCTAGTATTCCAAGGGGTGATTTATAGGGTTCCTTTGAACCTTGGCTCTTGAATTTCTGAACATGGTGAATAAACACGTATATGTGTTTAAAATCCGCAGCATTTTAACATTTACTTAACAGGGTTCCAAGGACGCCTGGGAGACGTTTCCAGCCGTCTAGTTGATTCAGTAGGCTCTATTGCTTAGACATGCGAAGCAAATACTTTGCAAACATTTTAGGAATGTATAACTGAGCGTAGTCTGCTTGTAGAGCTCAAGAGCCAGGCAGCTTGTATTCGCTTGAATTTTAACTTCATGCTGATTAAACACAGGTTAAAAAAAATCACTATCACAAGATAAAGCTAACCACTCAAAGATCTAGGATGAAATCTTCTGATGAACTTTGAGAGAGGACCACACAGCAGCCCAACGAGAGGAAGTGGAATTAAAGCACATTGAAGGGATGACATCCTTCATTGGTTTGGTAGTGGCAATGTTACCCGGGATCCCCCTCCCCAGGCCCACTCTCATTGCCACCTCCCTGTGACATCAAGCTTGTGCAGGTGATGGGAGGGCAAGGCAGGGCAAAGCAGCCATGTGGAGGCATCATTCAGGTTCATTGCTCTGCAGACCACTGAACCCAAATTTCTCCATGCTACAATGCGTTTATAAATTCTGCCAGTCGAGCTGCATGCAAAAATTGGGTTTAGGTAAACCTTAAGAGTTTAGAAATAAGTGCATATTTTCTACCTAGCCTGCACAATCTTCCACTGAAAGCTGCAGCACACATGTTGAATTCTCATAGATTTGCAGTAGAAACATATGAATCTATACTGAAAATATCACATTTCGGGATTTCACTTTTCCTGCCACAAACTTACAAATTTCCTTCTCTTTTTCTGTTCAGAAATGGGATTTTAGGTGGAAGGGGTAAAAATACAACAGAAAATTAGGAGAATTAAGTTTCATTTAAAAAAACCAACCAAGGATTCACACATCCATGTAACACCTCAGCAGCACTTTCATGTTGTTTTTTAAATTAGCGCAAACATAAAAAAAGCAATGCAAAAGTATTTCGTGGAAGATGTAAATGTATTAGACAGAGAGATTAAGAAGGGAGAAAATATTGAAAATAGAACCATTAAATGATTGTGAGGAACTGGTCAGTCCATTCATGTCCAGCCTTTCCTAGTTATGCTTTTTGTAACTCTTTAGAACAGTTTGATTCCAAAGATTTTGGTATAAAATATCTTTGATCTCCAACTACTAATATTGTATAACATTAGAATTTATTGCAGCACCTCCTTAATCATGACAATCTCAAATGCATTTATTTGAAAGTTAGACCTCTCAGAACTATTTCCCAGTGGAAAATCAACTAATATTTCACTGGCATTTAACTGGTGGACACTTGATTTAATCCTGACTAAATCTCTGTATACTCCTCTTTACAACAGAGTTAATAATAGCTCATTTCTCCCATTCTACTTTTGCCTCACGAGATGGGAAGCTCTTCAGGTAAAGCTGCATTTTATTATGAGTATGACAAGTTCCCAGAAAAATAATACTTGAAAACCAGCTGTGATCAATAGGTGCTGTGCGAGTAATAAAGATAATAATGGTTAGCTAGAAACTGGGTGACCTGAACAAGATAGGGGGCTGGTTAGCTCAGTCAGTCGAGTGTGGCGCTAACAATGTCAAGGTCACGGGTTCGATTCCTGTTCGGTCCCCATGTGTTGCCTGAGCTAGTGGAGAGATGGTGACCCTGGTGGCAGAGAGGCTGGATTAAAGTGATCTCTAAGATCCCTTCCAGCCTAGGCCATTCTATGATTCTTATTCTAAGATACCCTCATCTTTAAATGGTTAGACTAATACAAAGGGCTGTGGGTATGAATTAAGCTCTTTGGATAGCAGACCATCTTGTCCTAAACTGTGACTCTGACTTCAATGGCATTACTCCATGTAACTAGGATTATTGTGCGAGCAGTTGTGCTCACAGTGTTCCTGAACCTGAACTGAACTCCTAACAGCAGTCTGGGATAATTCATTCCTTGAAAAGACCTCGCAGCTGCTCAGTGGTATAACCCTGACCAGAGCTCCCTTTTACTGCAGGCTCACTTGTGTGTCTACCTGCAGGAATCTCTGTGTCACCCTCACGAGCAGCCCATCCTGCAGCAGTAGCTGTCTTGGCAAAGCTACTGTCTAAAAGAGAAGCAAATCCGTCATTAAAATCAAATAGCAGAAGCCTAAGACATGGTCATATAGTTAATGCATCCTTGCCAACAGAGCTGACAAAACCGCTCTGGCTGTAGCAGAGGACACCACACAGTGATAAATGCGACAGCAGGACTTCTGCTGAAGCTCTTCTTCAGTCTTTTAATTTATATTATTAAGATGGTGTCTATAGAAAGCTGAGAATGTGCCAAAGATTATAAATTTGACAGACAATTGGTATACACTTCTTTAAATGTCTGGTTTGTAAATAATTTCTATTATACTTTCATTATTTATTAACTGAGGGTTGTTTGAGCAGGGCCTCATCACTACCTCCATTGGATCCTCCCTGACAGTAGCACACCCAAATAAAGCAGTAAAAACACACTTCTCATGCTCGTGGCAGTGCTTGTCTGCTAAGTTCCAGGACGGGGCTGACCTTGCCTTGTGCTGAGTTTTGTAGGAGTCCTTCAGCAGGCACAAGCCAGTACTTCGCCTGCAAGGAGCAGACACTGCTCCATCTCTGAGGAAATCTGAAGGCACTGTAAGGTGTCATGAAGAAAAGAACATTTCTAGTGGGGAGAATAACATGTTAGCCACCAAAGCTTCATCTGAGAACAGTGATGAGCAGCAAGCATAAGGTCCTGGGTAAACAGGGAAAGTGTCATCTTCCAGCTGAATAAAGGCTTGCTTGATGACTTTTTGGACAAAGGAACTGAGCACAGAGAAAACTGTACATAAGGTACTCTCTCTCAACCCTAAAGCATCATTTTATTTCTCATGCTCCTTATACACAAGCCCCTGCTTGGCAATGAGATGAAGAAACAGCAGTGGGGAGGCACTTGGAAAGGTGGCAGGAACAATGGCAGGGGCCAGCTGGCAGCAGAGCTTGCTTCACATGGAGTTCAAGCTTGGCTGTTCATATTCCACAAGTCTAGTTACCAAAACCCTTAAACAGCCACATCTCAGCTGTCTCTGTCTTGAAAATGAATAATAAAAGCCAAGGTCATCTGTACAATGTCCTCTAGTACTTTTCCTGCCTAGTACTTTAAGAAATTGTGCCAAAAGGCTGAGAATAAAGTAACAAGAATTCCCACCTAACACAGATGTCTCTCATTTCATGCTCCATTTCAGTTCCCAAAAGTTTTACAAAATGAATATAGTCAAAAAGTATTAAAACATCATCCCAGAAAGCAAGATGTGGAATCAATCTGAGATGGGCAAAACTGAGCCTAGTCCCAATCACTCACTGATGTGTTGTCAGGATGCAACTGATGTATTTATGCTTCATTTTTAACAGATAGATTTATTCCTTTACTTAATCTCACCTTCAGAGGCACCACTTGCATCAGAATGGCGAAGTTAGTGAGGTGGTTACAAAGACACACTGAGTAGTTGAGGTCCCCACTCTCACGCACACAACCTTCATTAGACCAAACACCAGTTCCATTGCTGCAAAGCACACAAAAATTGAACATAATCTCTATCAAAATGCATCTTATCGGGTTAATTTGACATGCATTGTACTATACAGGAGATAAAAAACTTTAGAGCCATCTCAGGCTGGAGCGTCCACAAACACTGCCCGTGTCTTCTCAATTCCATCATGAAAATAGTTAAGGAAAACATTGACCAGAACAGGGCCCAGGTCAGATCTCTACATGATTGTCTCTAGAGATTTCTTCCTAATTTTATAACTAATGAACAATAACCACATTTATTCTTTACGTCGCACAACACATTTATGGCCTTTCACCTAAACCCAATTTTCTATATTAGGAGAACTATAGTATGAGATAATTCAGTAATCTTGCAAAAGTCAAAAAAAGTCACCATATCATACCTGCTGCCTCTTCCACGGGCCCCTCATCCTGTTACAGTAATTAATTCTGACCGATTGAGCATGATTTCTAGTGACCCACCCATGCCAACTGGTTTTCATCATTTCTTCCTCAGGGGTAACACGAGCAGCTCCTGCTCCCCTGAGGACAAGGCTGGGTGGCCTGGTCCCAGGAAGGTGACCCTGATGAGTTTGCTTCTTCCTGGAGCCAAAAAACCCCAGAGCCCTCCCCATGCTACCACAGCCCTGCAGTGCACTGGGGACAAGAAGCCACAGGCACACATCTGGGCGCTCTGCAGGCTCATCTACCCAAACTGTCTCCTTCTAAACCATTTGTTACTTTTGATATTATTCTGGGTCCTGAAGAAATCCTGAGAGATCTGTATTTTTTTTCTTGGGGCTTATTTAAAAAATAGGCATTACCTTGTCCTTCCTCTGTCCTTTGGGACCTCCTCAAGTTCTCAGAGAGAGTCTACTGAAGGTCAGAAACTAAATGCTTGTTCTTAACTACCATGCACTAGGGAATAAGACCATCTTGACACAAATAAAACTCATTTGGAAGGACAGATTTCATATTTCAGTTTCTGCCCTGAGGCAAAGTCTCAGGGGCCCAAGCCCCAATGGAAAACAGTACAGGAACAATGCCCCAACCGTATTAATTCTCTTCGGTAAAATCTGTTTCTAATTTATCGTAATTTGTGAGTAACCATAACAACAAGTAACTGCCAACAGCTGGGACAGTTCAACATATTTGAAACAAAACTTCAATAAAACAATTTACAGTGACCTTTCCTTGTGCATGCGGGATAGGAAGGATCATAGCATTGTGGGCCAGTGCTGCATCCATTAGGTTTATACCATTATGGCTCAAAAACTGTTAATCCCCATGAAATTCAAAATTCACTATTTGTAATCTTTCTCAGTTAATTCAGTAAGAGTGGCATGTTTGGAAATCAAAAACAGATGAAATATATTCAGAGCTAAAAAGAAAAATAGCTACTGCTTCTGTATAGTTCCTTTTTTTTCTCAGTGAAATTTAATGTGATATTTATTTCCCTTTTATTCTAATTTGCATTCAAGGGCATAACATTTCTCCACTCCATGCATTGGCCAAAATTCACAGCTCTGAAATACTGATCTCACATGATGTTGTGACACAGGCATAGATCCAGTGAAAACAATGGCTCTGCTGGAGGTTTGCCATCTTAAAACATCCAAGCATCTGCCCAAGTGGACATACTCATAAACTGAGACAAGCACAATTTGCATCAGTTTGCAGTTTTGATTCCAAATTTTTTCAGTCTCTCAATTACCTACCTAACACAGGGTCTGCGAGTAGCAAGTCTCCTATTTTTGGTAAGAAGCCACTACCAGATTCTGTTTTTTGACAAAGCAGTGGCTCAATTTCTTTAACCATTTCCATGAATGAAAGAGAATAAAAAGAATATAGGCAATATATAGCATCACAAAGTGTAATTTAATTAAACCAAGTTAAAGAATTTTAAATTATGTAACATACCTATAGTCCAGAAATGCACAGTAAAGGTGAACTCTGTTACTCTTATTTAGTGCTTGGCTGTATTGTCTGGGAGTCTGCAAGAAAGAAGGTATAAACTCTGAAGGAATGCTTAAAAAGGACTAAATTCCACTATTCAACTACTTAAAATTCTCATTGCTATAGTGACTTCAATAGACTTATTCCAGATTAATACACCGTGACTGAAAACAAATTTTGTCAGTAGTCATAGCTTTAACACAAACTACAAACATGCAAAGGCTGGTATTCAGTCTTAATTTTACACGCTGGGATTAAAGTAATCTCACTATGAGTGCGAAATCTGTGTGCCATTTAAGTAAATAGCAGATCAGAATTACTTATTGTATATACACACTAATATATGTATTCATTTTTGCAGGATTGGGTCGTTATTCCTCAGCATATGTTTGGCTTTGTTGAGTTCTGTTTTCATTCACTAATAAACACCTCACATTTTAGGATTAATAATACTGTAATACATGCATCACAATGACCAACTCACAGATATTTTCATTCCACAATAGTGATTATTTTAAAACACACAATCAAACTGAAAGAGCAATGCCATAATTCAAGTTTTTATTTTACCACACCTTCACATTATATGACATAATTTCTATCTTCCATAAACAGATTTAGTCACTAACTCAATCTCCTCTATTCAGAAAGCTTTGAGAACACATTCTCCACTCTGTTACACCAGTTTCACGACAAAATAATTCAAATTATATTGGAGTGAAGTAATAGTTTGTTCTAGACAAAATATGCAAAGTAGAGGACTTCCAGGACCTGTTCTTCCCTTTCTAATGCATAAATCCCCAAAGTACACATTTTGTTAGACCCTACCTTAAGGCAATTTTTTAATTACGAGAGTCTTCAACACAAACAAATCACTGGTGAATTAACAGCTCTCAGATTATTGCAACACAATTCTGCTGTCAGGCTGAAAGATAACCAAGTATTGCTTTCCTTGTTTCAGACAAAGAAGGAAAAAAAAAACCAGTCTCATCATGCTGAAACTCAACCAAGAACAAGAAGTCCCTGGTGCAATTTTCCTTCTTCTCGCCCACAATCCAATGATGAGTGCCAGGCACAGGGTAGCACAGTTCTCTCCTTACTGGTAGATAATAAAGCATTTCTGCCTAACCCAGGACATTCACACATTCATACTGGATTTCCACACACTTCAAGTAGCTATGCTGTAGATAAGGCATTTACTTCACATCTCTGGATAACATAGATGGAATTTTCTCATCTCCTTGAGCAACATCTCTGGACAAAATTTCTAGTTCCTTGACTCACTCTGTTTTCCGTAAGCCTTCAACATAGAAACAGTTAAGACTGCCGATCAGGTACTCACAGAAGCAAAGCTCTGTGAAGAGGAAAGACCAGCAATTATCTGCCAAAGGTCTCAATCTTCTCCTTTGACTCTGGTGACATCAATGAGGTTAAAACCTCACACTCTCACAAATGTGCCACATTTGTGATAATTTGTGATAATGGGACAAGAGTCTCCTTCTCTGTAGACATTCAAAACCTGCCTGGATGTGTTCCTGTGTGACCTGCTCTGGGTGATCCTGCTCTGGCAGGGGGGCTGGACCAGATGATCTCTTGAGGTCCCTTCCAACTCCTAACAGTGTGTCCCTCATCACTAGGAAATATTTCACTGACCTAACTCCCAATTTTCTCATGTCACTTTCTTTCCAGATGTGGTGAAAGAGATGTGATAAACCCAAGTATATTATGTTAATTAATACAGAGCAGTCTTTCCTCGTCGCTGACTGCCTCGTGAAGGCCTCATGCAAGGCTTCAGGATCAAACCAACATGTTCTCCCTTTAGATCCATCAGTTCTGAACGTTCTGTTCCTCTCAGAGAGTGTCTCACCATTAGCCTCACCTTTAACAACTGCAGGTGTCCTCAACACCTTCCAAATCTCAAACCACCTAGGAAACATTTCAGAAACCACTTCCTTCCCTTAATCACACCTCTTGCTCCTCAGAGTATTCTCGAAGAGCACTAGTTCAGAAACTGCTGAAGACTAATGATCCATAACTCACAGCTGGGAAACTGCCTTCTGCAACTTCACATAATTTCGAGTTTTGTTGTTGCAGAGTTCGTTTTGTTTTACCAGCAGCAAGGGCATGTAGCATAATGTTTGTCCATTATGCTGTATAATGTTTTGTCCATCATGTCTATAGCCTTCCTGAAGTAAGCAATTGAAGGAGTCTATAGTCAGTCTGTGTTACAAATTACTTCACTTTTGTGACAGACAAACTGTAGCTAAAAGAAAAAGAGAGAGAGAGAGAAAGATCTGCTATGATAATAGCTAAGATCATACCACAACTGTCATTTCTGATTTAAGATATCTCTAGATAAATCACGATTCTTAATACACTAAATGGAAGGGGCACAGTAGGGTCAGGTTGGAGGATGACATAGTACTTCAGTTGTGTATCTTTTTACACAAATAAATCCCAGATGTATGTTTTACCCTCAATTAAGCATCTCTGGCAAGGGACAAATTATTGTTTATCTCCATCTTTAAGTCTAAACACAGTTGTCACTCAGCAAAGGTCTACACCAAGTAGGGCTATACAGTCTCTGAGTTGTCCAGAACTGTGTGGATATCCACATGGAAAAAGAAAAGATAAATAATGCATATATGGGAAGGTTCCATGCCAATTTGCCTATTTACTTCTCTAAAAGAACATATCCCATGTTTTAACCCACACGTTACAGGTCTCATAAGGCTTCTCAGTGCCATTTGTGATAACTGCACAAATACTCATCTTCACAGACTTCACTGAAGTTCTGCAACAAAACCATCGTTAGTGTAGAAAGCCTCCCAACGTATAAGAAACTGGTGGGAATGAGAAATAAACTGTCTCTGATCTTCAACAGCCCTACTTGAAAGTACTCTAATCTATGAAAAATGAACTGCCTGTGCCATGATACTGCATTGCTTAAAAACTGTGTGTGACAGCTTATGTGTGACTTGGATCCTGTAGCACTGAGGATATTGATTTAATGGCATTGATAACAGAAAGCTTAATATACAAGTAGGCTTTTACACTAAAAGATTAAGTCACTTGAATGTTTATAAAAGCCTGTGAAAGGACAGTTTATGCAGCTTTCAGTAGTGTTGAAAGGGAAAGTATCCGCACACTAAATAATCCAGGCTCTGTGCTCCAGAATCTAGGTTCTTTGTATCAGTCCTTCTGCATGCAAGGAGGTACACACAGTTTCTTCAAAAACAGAATTGTATTAGAAGAGGAAAGCAACCTCTTGTCACTGAGAAACTCTGTGTCTGCCTGACAGAGCTGGTATCTTGAGGAAGGACCGTTTATATCATGGCTGTTCAGCATCCCTTACGCCAACCACTGACTCTTGGAAAATCAGTCAGACATACAAGCAAACCACAGAAATTCACTGTATGTGTTGAGAGCACACAGAGGACATGCAAGGCTGTGTGATGGGGGCACGGTCCTTACACTGCTGGGAACCAGGCACAAGGCCACGGTTAGTAGGTGAAGAGGCCAAAAAAGGGGGTGGGAGGTTGAAAGGACTGCTGGAAATCTTCAGGAAAACGTAGTTGCAGGAAATGTCATGAACACAATTGCAGAAGAAAAACAGTCGGCCAGCTGCTGCTGGGAAGGCTTGCCAAGGGCGAGAAGCCAAGTAGAGGGTGGGGTGACCCTTTATGAGATTAGCTTGTTTCTGCTCTCCTCCCCTGAATTTAAAAAGCAAATATTTAGATACATAGTGGTGGCCACCAAGGTAGGAGGGTGTGCACCTTCTAATTCAATATGTATTTTTCTCCAGTGTGAAGAAGAAGAAATGTGTGGATCAGATCTGCCATTGATCTAAACTCAGTAGCTTCAGACCAAATGTGTTGGGTGTTGGACTTACTCTCATCCAAACAAGTTGATAATTTATCATATTAAGTTCAATTTGGAGTTCACTTGTATCTGTTTACAAAATACAGCATTTTGTCTAATTCAGAGGTTTTTGAAACCTTGTCTTCTCATCCTCCAACAATAGATTATTTCTAAGGTGGTGAAAAAAGGCACCAAGACATACAAGCCTCTAGTCAGTATGCTTGTGTCTTTTGTGGAGTTCACGGCCTCACTGAAATATTCTTACAGGTTCATGAATCAAAAAACCCTTTGATTCTGGTTCATGGATTAAATTAGAGACCAAAATGATGCTTCTAATTTAAGGATTTCCTGTCCTGACAGTGACATCCTGACTGTCAGTGTGACCTATCCAGGACCACTTGATTTACTGACTTTCCACATTATACAATCTACTTCTCCTAATTACCAGAAAATGAAAACTCACTCAGTTCCCTGGAAAAGACAGACAGGAAGAAAGAGAAAGAATAATCTGCTATTTTTGTAGTGGGTCGATTTGTTGTTTTCTTCCAAGCTGTGAGAAAGTTGCACTGCAACAGACCTTGTGCTTAGATCATCCAACTATTTCAATTTAGAGTCCAACTGATTCACCTCAAGATGTAACTAGCATATGTAATGAAAAAAAATGTTACACATTGTACAAAAATGAATTTAGCTTATGAATAGGGAATTATAGTCTGTTGCGCATAAAAGCCAGACCTTCAGTTCTATTGTTGTCAACAGAGCTATGCTAACACACACTTAGGGAAGGAACAAATAAAACACTCTAGGCTGCCAGGGTCAACATGAAAGCTTGCTGAATGCATTTCTTAATGGCACCATCATACAGTCAAAAAAACCCCAAACAACTCATCGTACAACAAAGGATTGAAGACTGTGACAGACAGCAATAAAAAGGGAAAAAAACAGTGAAATATCAGAGGCCATAAAGACATCTGAAATTAGAAAAGATTGCCATATGTAATTGAATGTAGATTGAGATCAATTCTCCCCTTACTTGAAGTTAAAAAGAGTCAACTTATCAATTTCCTCAAAAAATATTCTTAATCAAATGTTACACCAATAGCTTTCCCCAGTTCTCAGAGTTCTCCATTTAACAGCTGCTGTATTGGGCAAGCAGTGTGAGAACTGAAAAAACCCA